AGCCTGGCAAGCTACCGAGAGTATTTTGCCCGCACGGCAAAGCCTGGCAAGTTCCCCGCGACGTATTCGAAATGCCAAACACAGTAACAAGTCTCACAATGAAGACATTACTGGGCCCACTCGAGCAAATCGATGAACAATGAGAGGACAGTGCTACAGTGCTATAATACTCCAAGACCCATGAGCTCAGGAATAAACTATCTTTGGGGTAACATAAGTGAATGGACATGTCTATGTCCTGTGGAAGTGGAATCAGGTCCAACACATTGATGTTACGCCTCTATACCTGGTCTCCAGCATGGAAAACAGATATATGGTAGAATTCAGACCACCATCAAATAATTTAACAATGGTAAATTAACCAATGAGTGAATTTCTCTATTAATGGAAATAAATTTTAAGAAAATTTCATCTTGGGCCAAAAAGATAGTACAGTGAGTAAAGTGCTTATTTTGCATGTGACCAACTTCAATCTGATCCCCGGCATCCCAACTGGTTCTCCAAGCACCTCCAGGAGTGATTCCTGAGGGCAGAGTCAGCAGTAACTCTTGAGCACTGTTGGGTATGGCCCCAAAACAAAATGAAAAGAAAATTTCATTGTATATCTTGCACAGCAGTAAACAATAAAAATGCATAATCTCATTACTCAGCAATCTATTAAAACCAAACAATTTCAATTAAAATATGTACTATTTAAAAATTTTCATAATATAGAAAAGCAAAAAATATGCTACCTTAAACTTGAATATATATCCTTCACCCTCCTTAGGCATTTCTCAAAGTTAACCACAAAGTTAAATTACATTACTCCTTTCAATATGTATAGAAATCGCTATCTGTATTCATGTCTGTTTAGTCTATGTATAAAAAATACTATTTTAAAAGTAAAACTCTACGAAAAAGGCATCATACTATGTCAATCTACTTTTTTTTATTTAACAATGTATGAAATGATTTTCCATTCACCTGCTAGATATTTATGTCTAGTCATATTTTTGTTAAAATTTAAACACTTGTCATAAAAAGTGACAATTTTTTCCCCTTAACTTTTTATTAGTGAAACACCATGTGGTACAGTTGTAGACTAAAAATATGGAACGCTTCACGAATTTGCGTGTCATCCTTGTGCAGGGGCCATGCTAATCTTCTCTGTATTGTTCCAATTTAGTAAATGTGCTACTGAAGCGAGCACAAAAATGCAAATTTTTTTAAAATTAATTTTTCAGGGAGAAGAAATCCATGAGATCAGGCTGGGTTCTTACAAAAAAAACCAACCAGCCAACAAAGAAAAACAAAAAACAAACAACAACAACAACAACAAAAAGACCCTAAAAATAATCCCAGAGAATCACAGAATCTCACATGCAACCCCATAGAAGAAGTGCAAATGATGTCCAACAAGATCTAGGAGATTCTCCATGTTGGATCAAGGCATAAGAGCCGAGTAACAGATAAGGAGAGTAGCCCCAAAGAGAGGAGAGGGGGCAGCAGAGCAGAGGAGGCACAGAATGCTGCCAAGAAAAAGGAGTAGTCAATTAAAATTTTTGCCCAGTCTTCTAACCCTTTACCCTCACAAAACATGATCAGAAAGCAGACACAGGCCTGGCAAGGTGTTCAGGGCAGGCATCTTCAGACTGCCCCAGGTAAAAACAAAAGCCAGCCTTCCCCACACTGTATCTGGCTGAGTGAAGGAATTTGCCCAGTCAGAAAGATTCTTTTGCACACTTATGCCCAAACTGAAGCACAGTGACATTAATCCATAAAAAGACACTGGCAACTGCAAATGATGGCAGGCAGCACTGTTCTGTACTGCCAGTTTCCACCAGGAGTTAGAAGGAACATAGATTCAGCACCACAATCTTTGCATGAAACTAGTGTATGAGATCCCTGCACTGTCACCAAGATTGGTAAAACAAACAAACAAACAAAAAAACAACAAACCCTCACTCTGAGCCTTAACACAGGAGAACTCACATTAATGGACAAAGACAAAAGCCTGTGAAGAGCCAAGCTCAGAAGAGCTCTGTAGCCTCCCCTACAAAGAGAACTTCAAAGTTGACAATGGCAAGCATGTACACTGAACTGAAGAAAGCAACATTAGAGACCTTCAATAAGGAAAGAGAAAGTATGAGAAATGCCAGCTGAAAATCACTAGATATAGATGGGCTTAGCAGCATGAGAAATTTCAGGTACAAATAAGCATGGCTGAGAATAAGATACATAGATCCATCAATAAAGAACAGAAGATGATAAAAAGAATTAGAGAAAAATGAAGAAAAAACGTAAGAGTATATCTCTAGGACAGCTTCATAAGGAACCATATCCACATTATAGAAGTTCTGAAGGAGAAGAAACAGAGAAACACCTGACCTGTCATGATAAGCTAAGGATAAAAGGCCCAGAAAATATTACCTAAAAACAAAACAAAACAAAAGAAAACCCTGGGATGGCCATACTAATACTAGACAAAACAGAATTCAATTGTTTATGAAGGACAGAGATGACTTATAACTCATTAGTGTATATGTGTCAATGAAACACCAAAATATATAAACCAACTTCAACAGGCCTTAGAAAGATATTGACAGCAATGCAGTGGTAGTAGGACCTTTTAATTACTCCATATCCCACCCACATTGAATAAATCAAGTCCAAAAAATGTAAGGAAACATTGGTCTAAAAGGAAGAAATGAAGAGCTATACTTAATTGATATGAATAGGGATCTTCACCCCCACAAAATGAATACACATTCTTCTCCAATGCACATGCGACATTCTCTGGAGTAGATTTCAAGGTGTGACACAAATTAAGTACTCATTAAATTGAGAAGACAAATTATATCAAGCATTTTTCCAGATCACAATGCTTTGAAGGTAGAAATAAACCATAAAGAGAAAGTTAAAGAAAACTCAACCACTTGGAAATTTAACAACATACTACTGAACAACCAGTGGGCCAAAGAAGAAAAAAAGAAGAAATAAAAACATTCCTATTAATAAATGAAAATGAGGACATAAAGTTCCAGACCATAAGGGACATGATAATTGCTATCCTATGAAATTCACAGAAATAGAGGTATTGAACAGAAAACAAGGTTCAAATAAATAACCTAATCTTAAAAAACTAAAAAAGATCAAGGTAGTCCAAAGTAAGTAGGAGGGAAATAGTAAATAGCGATAGCACAGCGGTAGGGCGTTTGCCTTGCACGCAGCCAACATGGCCGACCTGAGTTCGATTCCTCCGCCCCTCTCGGAGAGCCCGGCAAGCTACCGAGAGTATCTCGCCCGCACGGCAGAGCCTGGCAAGCTCCCCATGAGGTATTCGATATGCCAGACGCAGTAACAACAAAGTCTCCAATGGAGACATTACTGGGCCCCCTCAAGCAAATCGATGAACAACGGGAGGACAGTGACAGTGAGTGATAGTGACAGAGTGGAAATAAACCTCCCCCCAAGAAAAAGTAATAATGCCAAAGATCTATGAAATCAAGAGCTGTTGTTTTTAAAAGAATAAGGGAGACAAATCCATATTAGACTCACAAATAAAAGATATAAATCTGATAAAGGAACAGAATGCAAAAAAGGAAAAGTTATGAGATACTACAGAAATACAAAAACATTATAAGAGTACTAGAAACAACTCTGTACCACTAAATTAGAGAATCTAGAAGGAAATTTAATCTAGAAGGTTAAAATTTAACCTTTAGGAGGCTCCTACAACCTCCTAAAATATAATTAGTATTAAGTAGAAAACCTGTTCAGACCAATTAATATTCAGAAATAGATGCAGTAATTAAATTCCTCCCCCTTCCCCCCACAATGAAAGCACAGGTTCAGACAGGTACACTAGTAAGATCTTCCAAATCTTCAAAGAGGACCTACTTCCTATTAACCCAGGCTCTTCCAGAAAGCCAAAGAAACAGTATGTCTTCCAAGGAGTTTTTATGAGGCTAACATCACTCTAATACCAAAACATAAACAGTCATCACTAAAGAAAATTAGGGCTCAATATCCCTGATGAATATAGATAGATGCAACAATCCTCAACAAAATTTCAGTGAACTAAATTCAACAATGCATTAAAAGGATGACATATCATGATCAAGTAGGATTTATTCTTTTGATACAAAGGTGGTTTTATACTTAACTAATGTGGTACTTTATATTAATAAAAGAAAACAAAAAATCATGTCAATAAATGCAAAGAAAATGTTTGACAAGATTTAACACACATTTATGATTAAAAAAAGAAACTCTCAACAAAACGGAGATAGAAAAAAGTTTCATAGGACACTATGCCATACCACAAATCTACAGCAAATATACTCAAAAGTGAAAACCTGAAAGCCTTTTCTCTAAAACTAGGTATGAAACAAGGTTGTTCACTCTTACAACCATTTTCAACACAGTACTGGAAGCCCTTGTCATAGCATCTAGGCAAAAAAGAGAAACTGAAGTTCTCAATTTTTTTTTTTAAAAAAAGTCAAATTAAGGGCTAGAGAGACAGTACAGGGGTTAAGGTGCTTGCTTTGCGCATGCACAAGCTCAATTTGATACCTTCTACCCCGTGTGGTTCTTCAAACACCAACAGGAGTGATCTCAGAGCACAACACTAAGAGCAAGCCCTGAGCACTGCAGGGTGTGGCCCACAAACAAACAAAAAGCTGGATGGGGGTAGGGGGTGGTTGGGTGGGGGAGTCATAGTATAACAATTCACAAATAATACATAAAAAATCCTAAAGAATCCACCAAAAAACGTCTAGAAACTACAAACCTAAACAGCAAAATGGCAGAAAAAAAAATCAATACATAGGTATCTGCTATCATTTTATATGCAATCAATGAGACAGAGAAGAGAAAAAAAGTTTTTAAAAATCCCATTTTCAACTCGAAAAGAATCAAGGATTTGGGAATCAACAGAGGAGATGCAATATTTATTTCAGGAAACGATATGCTCTATGAACCAGTATATGCAAGTTTTAATAAGAATAAATTCTTACCTTAGGAGAAGTAGAGAGGTCTTTTCCTGCAGAAACAATTGTGTTTTCCTGCACTCCTTCTGCTTTTGGTAAGATGGCTGGTGGGGCTGGAGCTTTTCTTTTCACTCTCTTTTCAGTTTCCAGTTCTTGAATCGGATTTACTAAATTGGTTGGAGGAGTTGGTTTAGGCTCATAAAAAGGATTTGATCTAAAAGACAGAAGAATTATTGACACACACACACATACTTACATAAATAAGTTCATTTATGAAAGTAGCACTGTAGCACTGTCCTCCCGTTGTTCATCAATTTGCTCGAGTGGGCCCAGTAACGTCTCCATTGTGAGACTTGTTGTTACTGTGTTTGGCATATCAAATATGCCACGGGGAGCTTGCCAGGCTTTGCCATTAGGGCGAGATACTCTGGATAGTTTGTCAGACTCTCTGAGAGGGACGGAGGAATTGAACCTGGGTTGGCCAGGTCGGCCACGTGCAAGGCAAATGCCCTACCGCTGTGCTATCGCTCTAGCCCATAAAAGTAGAAAATACTAAAAATAAGGAAAAACCCAAACCAGTGATAACCTAAAATTTAGAATCGTCACATTAATGTGTTATTTTGGTAATCATGTTTTTTTTTTTTATAATTTTTACCTTTTGGACTGGACTGATAGTGCTAGACCTAAGGCTCTTGCCCTGCATGTAGCTATGGCCACAGACACCCTAGTTTGAACCCCCAGAACCACATACAGTCCCCCAGGCAATACCAAGTGTCACTCCTGCCTGCAGACTCAGGGATAATCCCTGAGCACCACCCGGGTGTAGCCCAAAACAAAAACAAACCAAAAAATGTGTGTGTGTGTGTGTGTGTGTGTGTGTGTGTGTGTGTGTTCAATGCCCACTGATCCATTGTTGGGCACCTATGTTGACTCCATATCCTAGCTATTGTGCTAAGTCCTCAACAATGAAATAGAGCAATTCATTGAAACTTGGATCAAGCTGGAAGATAGCATGTTAGGTTCAGTAACTTAAAAAAAGTCAAATACTAGATGCTTTCACTTATCTGTGGTACATAAAGTAATATGACAAATGACTGCAACTAATCAAAGGAATTACTTTAGATTAGCCTGGACCCTAGATTACAGCAAGAAAGACAAGGAAGGAAAGAAATCTGGCAGGAGCAGGACTTGGGAGGAGGAGTAAGAAGTGGGCAAGCACAAAAATTTGTAAGTCTACAACTGAACCTCATGGTATTTCATTAATAAAAATTAAAAAATAAAAAAAAGCACCTTGGGAGGCATATTCTCTTGGGTTATCGTCAAACAATAAAAGATGAATGTCAAAGTAAAAAAAAAGAAGTGGGCAGGAGGTAACTGGTAGCAGACAACTTTGTGATATAGAGGTGTATTATATCTATATATCTGAGCCACAGAACCTTCGAAACTGATAATATAAGATCTAATTTACAAAAGTCAAACTTAAAAATGTGCCTTTCAAGGAAGCCGGCGAGGGGGTTGGAGAAACTAGAGACATTGGTGGAAAGTTGAGACTGGTGATGGGGGTAGGGGTTAGAACACTGCCCAAAACTATTAATAACTTTGTAAATCATGGTGCAATTATAAAAAGTATATAAATAAAAGTTAAATTTTTTTTGCGTTATTGTAAGATTTTGTTCAACTGCTATCTATAGATTCTTAGAAAAATGTTTCCAAAAATTCTAAATCCTATGATTTCTTCACAGTCACATAAAAGGAAATGTGATGTGGAAATAATAGTTATTTTATTTTTATACTGGTCTTATGAAACTTTTTTTTTTCTTGTGTCACACCCGCATGTTAAATTTTCTTCTCATTAAGAACAACTTAAAAAAAAAAAAGGCGGGGGTATGGTGCCGCCAGCAGGTCAATCTGTACCTGTGAGGCGAGTGCATCAGCAGCTTAATGGCACCTTCAGACTTCCAGATACCCCAAAATTGCTGCTGTGCCTTTGCCCAGACCCCAAAACCTTGGGGGCAAAGTTTACCAAGAAAGTAAACGGCCACAAACCACCTCCGGTTCAGCTATCTAATTGGAGGCATGGCCTCTCTGGTTCCTGATTGAACTGCTTAAGGGCCATGATTCCAGAGACTCAGAAACAAATCTCGAAATCCATTGGCTTTTGGCAGAAATGTGTGTGGGCCACGCAGTAGGTTATTATTGCCGGGTCACCCCGGGGGGTAAGGGTGCTGGCCCTCTGCCTGCTCCCCCTTGGCGGCCTGGTGGCCACCATCTTCCAGAGGCCATTGGACAGTGAGGTTTGGGCCTGCAGTGACGAGACACACGGGGCCTCACAGGATGGGGGTGGGGCCGGCCCTTTTCTCCCCGTCCCAAGGAGACCCTCAGTTGCCGCCCACCAATGACCTCTCTGGCTCCTGATCAAGTTACTTAACAGCCATGATCCCAGAGTCTCAGAAACAAATCTTGAAACCCAACGGCTTTTGGCATAAATGTATGTGGGCCATGCAGTAGGTTATCGGCTCTGGGCCACCCCAAGTGGGAATAGGTTTTGTGCCTTGGCCTGATCCTCCTTGGCAGCTTGTTGGCCGCCATCCACCAGAGACCACTGGACAGTCAGGTTTGGGCCCACAGTGATGAGACAAGTGGGGCCTCATGGGATAGGGGTGGAGCCGGCCCTTTCCTCCCCACCCCAACAAGATGGCTACAAATGGCCTCTCTGGCTCCTGATCAAGCTGCATAATGGCCATGATCCCAGGGACTCAGGAACAGATCTCGGAACCTAGCAGGTTTTGGCAGGAAATCTCTCCAGATTTAACTGTTAAAATTTCAGAATTTCAAAATTGCGCAGCCACTACCGCAACTGCATGACATCATATATTATTCATGACCAGCAATAGAAAACAAATTGTCTACTGTTGCCTTTTCAGCAGATCTGAGTGTTGAGGTAAAATCCCAAATAATAATGGTGCGTGTGGTGTTGAAATGTTGAATGTGATCAAAGTATAGAGAGAGTGATTTGGAAATCATCTGCCCCACAGGTAGGGGAAGAGTGTTTTATGGGGGTATACTACTAGGGTTTTTGGTAGTGGAAAATGGGCACTGGTGAAGGTACGGGTGTTTCATTGTATGACTGAGACTTAAACCCGAAAGCTTTGTGACTGTTCTCATGGTGATTCAATAAATAAAATTATAAAAAATGGGGGGAAAAAAAAGTAAGGTGGAGTTCGTGCAAAATTCAATCAGCCTAATCAGTGGCTGAATAAATAGCAGTACTCCTACAAAAAAAAAAAAAACATCGTTTAGACATTTTTAGCAAATGAGGTTCTACTGATAGATAGCACCTCACATTTAAAGAACTTAAATAATAGTTTAGCTAGGTAGAGAATTCTATTTAATTTTCTCAGTGAAATCAATAAGTAAACTCAGGACGTGGAGGAAGGGATTTAGACACTTGGGTGGTGGTGAAGTGCAGTAACTTAAAAAAAAAAAAGATTGGGGTAGTAACTATAGCGTCATAAGCCCACAAGATATAAAAGCATCTAATACAAAAACTAAAAAGACAGTTTTTTAAAAAGCACATTGAAGATATTAGCCTATTGTCAGACCAACATTGCTCTTATCTTTTACTTACACTGCTGCAAAGATTTTATGTTTATTTCTGGTTCTAAGAAATGTCTAGGTGTGGATTCTTATTTACCTTATTTCATATTATTTCCTAAATCTATAGATTCACATTAAATTAGTTTTAAAAAGTCATTAACTATTATCACTTTGATTGTATCTTCTCTATTTTCTCCTTTAGAAATTCTTTTTGTTTTGTTTTGGGGCCACATCTGACAGTGCTCAGGGCTCACTTCTAGCTCTCTGCTCAGGGATCTCTCCTGGCAGGTGCCAGGAATCAAACCCAGGTCAGCTCTGTGCAAGGCAGATGTTCTACCCTCTGCATTACTGTTCTGACCCCTCTTTAGAAATTATTAATAAATATATATTTACTACCTCTTTCTCTCATAGTTTTACTTTTTTCGAAATAATTCTCTTTCTATCTGTGATCCAGTTCATTTTTTTCTCTTCATATATGTCTATTAATAGAGCTGGGGAAATAGTACAAAGGGTAAGATGGGTTTGATTTCAGTATCACATATGGTCCCCTGAGTACCAGGAGTGATTCTTGAGCCCAGAGCCAGAAGTCAACCCTGAATGTCACTGGGTATGCCTCCATGCCCCCCAAACAAACAAAATCTATATCTCCTGTTAAATTTTCCATGAATTTTTAATTTAACAAGCTTATTTCTTTGTAAAGCTGTGTGTATGTATAGCAAACATGTCAGGTACACAGATTTGAGTCCATTACCATTTAAATACACTTATTTAATTGTGTCTATCAGATGAATCTCTTTGAAATTACTGCATGTATAATCCTGAAGTTTCTTTTGTTTCCTGACTCTCTTAGTAACTGTTTCCGTATTTGTTTTGTAATTCTAGATGGTGAACTCAGAGATTAATCTAAGGAAATACTTATGTAGTTTGAGCTGGGAGTGCCTCTCTTCAGAGTGTTTTATGCATGCATTGACCAGGTACTTTTAGAGCCACTTTGTATATTTCTTCATTGGGTTGAGGGTTCCCAAAGGATCCTGCCAATATACTGTCAAATTCACAGGAGGATGGGCCTCCACTTGTAACAACTGAAGGAAGAGGTCTTTCTCTCTACCTTGAGTCTCAACCCAGACAGAAAAATCTTTCTTGCTGATTATCTTTATGAGTACATTAATTCTTTTTCCTAGTTCAATAAGCACAAGTCTCTGGTACATGCAATTGTTCTTTACATTATACAGTAACCATTATTATGAGGTTTACTCATTAACTGCATTTTTCCCCCAAATACCTAGAGTTCAATATTCTGCATTTATAATGAAAACAGCTTTTCTGATTCAACAGAACACTAAATCACTGAAATTAGTGATTATGCCAAGGAAATTTCATATTCATATAAAGCCTGTACTGGTGATAGCACTCTATTTCAATTATATCTGTTCTTTAAACAATAGTATCCGATTAAGAAAACAAAACTGGGTTATTTATACCACCTCCTAAAAGTTTACCTATAGACAGCAGGCCACATAAGACTGAGTACCAAGTATGTCAAGATCAGATGTGGGAAATTTAACATGTCATTCACGCTCTGTACTCTTGGCAACAAATAGTTTTATGTGACTCCTT